CCAAACGTTTCGCCAGCATCGTAGCCGGCATCGTCAGTGAGAGGCGCCATCGTAAGAACAGAATTACAACTAATCAAAGTGACAAGCAAAGGCAATCTCCTTGACAAATTTTATTTTCAATCGTTTTTTGTTCTACCCTCTAGTGCCGTATCTCTTTCTCTCAACCCCACTTCATATGGCCCATCTACTTATTCGCATAAGTCTGTGCTCTCGTGTCCTCTAAGGTCGCAACAAGTGGGTTTAAGGAAGCGTGACAATCTCCATCACCGGAACCAAGTGCAGTTTGCAGGGCTCCTGACCTCCATTCTGTCCACCCTTTTTTCCCCAGCCGCTTATCAAATGGCCGCTGCTAAACAACAAAATCACTGCTTGGCCTTCATCCTGGTCCTCGATTACGCCATATTCGAGGATGATGCCCATGACCATGCCGACGGAGATGTCAATGCCTGGGAATCTTCCTTTCCCTGGGCTTCAAACCCATGACACAATTATCCTCTCCCTCATCCCTACCCACATTGTCTCTTATTCTTTGGGGCCCTATGTCCGGCTTAATTCATAACCGCTGGTGTGAAAATACACCGCTTCCATTTTTTTCCTTGAATCGCGAAAAACACACTCCTTTTGACTCTCAAGTTGACATTTCCATCTAAGCCTAGGGTACTGGGATGATGTCACAGCGTGTGTGTGTTGGTTGGTATCCCCCCGTGATCAAGCCTGTCATCACTCACCTCACCTTCCGACATATACGAAAAATACACACGACATTTACGTACACATACTGATGGCCTCTACCTAGACCATCTATACCTTTGGCCTTTACTTTCATATCCTACATCTCACAGTTAAATTTTTTGGCCAATTCCACTGCTTTCACCTTTTCTTGACTTCCCTTTGCTCCCCATGAGCCGCGCCTTGGCGATGTCTCTTCCTGTAATTGAACAGTTGTCCTGGGTCCAAGCGTCTTCTTTTGATCTCTTTGCTGAATCTCCAGGGAGTGCACAAAATTATCGCTGACCCTTCCCTCTTCTAATCTCCTGTTTATCAGGCTTCTTTGAAAGAGGATGTCCACAGCCTCCATGATCTTCCATTTCCTCGTATTTTCCCAATATGAGGCCAGCCTTCCCGTTGCATTTCAATCAGTTGTGTGGCCTGTAATGGCAATGTGGTCAGCTATCTCCGATCTTTCCGTGTCCATTTTTCTGCATAGTCGCTGGTGTTCTTTCATCCCTGTGCTAATTGTCCTTCCCGTCTCTCCTATGTACTTTTATTCACAGTCCTTGGAGTTTATGCCGTATACTCTAGAATATTCCATTTTGTTGGCTTCTTCATGTTGTGTTGGCAAACTGGTGAAGAGAGTTGTACTTTCCTTCAGGATTATATGAATGTTACATTTCCTTAGTATCTGATGCAGTTTCCGAGCCCCTTCGTAGTAGAGTTGACATATCCATAATTTCTCCTCTGCTCCTCTTGATTTCTTTCATAATCTCCGTCCTTCCATCTATCTATCGCTATCCGTATGTTGGGTCGTATTGCTTATTCTGTATATCCGTTTCCAACAAACATCTGAGTTAGTTTTGCCAGTTCATCTTATCAAAACTCAAAATCAATGAGTCATAAGCTTCTTATGATCATACTCCGGAGTATTAAAATCTTCATCTCATAGGTATGGTTCGCCTAGAAGTTATTCCAACATGCGATTTCTTTCGGAAAAGTTTTTATGAGAGTTTCCTCGAAACGAATGTCCTCCACATCTAAAAAAGGTAAGTGCCCGTTCCCAGCCACATCCATGGAAAATTTGACATTTTCATCTATTTCGTCCACTAAGACCAAGAAATCGTCCACTTTTTTTCTTCCATGTGACCAAATTGCGAAGTAGCCATCTAAATATCGCGTAATTACTGTTGGCTGCTGAGGTGACATTCGGAAATCCTCCTCCAACTTGTCCATGAAGAAATTAGCCAACAGAGGTGAGAGTGGTGAGCCCATAGTCAGGCCAAATATCCGCTCATAGATGCGATCGTTGAACGTGAAATAGGTCGTTCTTATCGGTAGGCTGATTAATCGGGTTAGGGACTCTACGCATTCGCTCTGTCTCCCCGATGCCAATTTCTTTTCCCAAGATCTCCAGTAGTGCGGTAAGTGCTTTATATCCTATGATGTTAGTATACATGGACTGTACATCAAAGCTCATTCAAAGTTCGTTTCCTTTGATTCTTTGGCAAAATTCGTATGAGTTCTTTATTGTATTCGATAATCTGTCATCCAGTTTATTTAATTTGAAGCAGATAAATTTCGCCAATTTATGTGCCGGTCCATGAGAGTTGTTGATTATCAGTCTCAAGAGTTCTCCTCCTTTGTGTACCTTCGGCAAACCATATGCTACTAGTGCTCTTGAATCTTTTTGTCTGAGTTCATTGTCCATTTGTCGATGCCCCCGTTCCTATTCATTACCTTCAGCATTTCTTGCAGTGCCCCCTTGATTTTAACTGTTGGATCTTTTGTTATCAGTCGATACGTTGTAGTGTTCCTGAGAATATTTTTCATTTTCTCTGTATATTCCTTCCTGCCCATCACCACTGTTGCACCTCCTTTGTCTGCTTGTAGGACTATTTGATCGTTTCTTTTCAATTCTCTATATATTTCTTGGTTATATTGTACCTTCTTAGAATTATTATTGATGGATGTCAAAAGGCGACCTGAGCAGCGAAATCCCCAAAATCTCTTATAAAATAGTAAGGGCGGGAATATATACTAAATAAATTCCGGTTATTAGTTAATTATGTAAACACTAGGAAGCTTTACATGAAATGTTATGAAGATATCCTAACTAGGCATGCTGGCACAATCCAGGTAAAGTACGAATAATATTTTGTCAAAGCATCATCTAGTTCAAGGTGATGCATGAAGCTCTAAGCTAAAGTCAGTCCCTCACTCATGAGATCTTGACATGAAAGTAATCATTAGGCGGCACATAATGCCTGCTCCAAGCGCTGGACCTCGGCGAAATATCGCCGCAACAAATGAGGTGAGAATACTTCTCGTTCATAAGCATCACATGCATTCATTGAGTGGATCAGATGCAGAGAGCTTGGGTGTGGTTGACTGTCCTTCAAAAGATAGGGGACAGTTGAAAGGGCGCCATAAATTGATAGATAAATTTAACATGACATGATAAAGTGATAGAAAACTCTTAAATCGAGAAGTCCTCTGGTTGCGATTGGAGACGTGTTGCTGCCGACTGCGAATTCAGAAGTTACACATCGCAGCCTGGATATGGTGGGAAATTCATTTGAGTATATCTGTCCACGAGTTCTCTACCCTTAAAGAATTTGATTATGCAGAGCGAAGGCATGGTTAATGACTCGCATACATTCTTCATCATTATTAAGAGATTAAGACATGTCATGATATGCAAGATTTCGTTCTTTGCTGTAAGATAGGATGAAAAATTCGCCATGGCTGATGCAAATAGCAAGTGGTACTAGAATTTAAATAAGTCCGATTCAGATTGATAGAAAATAGCTTAGGCTACAAAAAAGTCAGTAATGAAAAAGTGTCAGAGAGAAATTTCTGCACCCAGAAGTTGGCTACGAATAAATGATTTATGCGAAAATTAAGTCAAAAGACTTTGTTGTGCGTTTAGCACTATAAAGATAATTTGCCTTCTTAGAACGCTTGCTAAAATATTCTTAAAATACAAATAATCTACCAGTAAATAAAGCGGATATCAATATTTTGCTGTGACTCAGATCACAAGCATGTTTTAGGCATAATAGTCTGTTTTAAAAGTCGTGTAAATGCGATTTAACCCGACGGTATGGTGAATAAAGATTCACCTAGGCAAAGGTTAATTTAAATTAAGGCAGCCTTTAAAGGGAATACTAAATGTGCCTTAACAGGCACATTTTGTTCAGGAATTATTAAAGGAAGTAATCTGCCGATGTAGCCCACTATGAGCTTGTCGAAATAGTGCTACTAAAAAGTCAACCAAGTCGACTTCAAACCCCAAATTACATGATAACATACTAAGAAAGTCATGATGATGCTCATATGTAGTAGTTACGGGGATTTCCCACTCGTAATGGACCTTTCACATATTTCGAAGGTACAATGGCAGCAGTAAAATCGCCCCACTATCAATAAACCAAACTGCAAATTTGCATCTAACTACTGTCATGATAAAAACTCTTATTTAGTGATAGAAGATATTGAGTCAAATTGAGAGGACAATCTATTATGGTCAAAGTGGACCCCAATGGTTGCTCTTGCATATACTATTTGTTTAGCCTAATTTCATCAGTAGATGAATCAATCGAATCTTACAGGTGACAAGAATGTAGCTTTATGACAGAGACAAAAAAATATTCACCTAAAAATTCATCCAGCTTAATCTGCATAAGAAAGCCAAACTGTGCACAGGATAGAAATAAGAAACTAGTTGGCATAATTACAAGTTTCCAAATGATCCAATGGTGATAGGTAGAAACGCTTTTTAGCCGTTTATTTCCTTTGAGTTGTAAAATCGGAACATCTTCGTTTGCCGGTAATGGAGTCAGACATGCATTCACGATTGAGGCGTGAGCGCGTACATGCTTCTGGACCATTGCAGCCTAAATGCTGCAAAAGTGTCCACATTCAGTGAAAACATCGAATTTTCGATATGATAGCAACTGTCAAGATGAGATGTTGTCTGGGCTTAGATTTAGTAACAAAGATGCAATCTTACTCGAGAGTACAAATAAAGAAACGTTTCCTTTACTAGCGTGTCCGATACAGTTTCACCCAGACTGCAAGCCAGACAGGCCAATAGTTAAAAGCGTAAACATTCAGTTTAGGCGAGTGAGAGAGACGAGACCGACTCGGTCAGGTCTGGAGATCGAGACGCCCTACGAGTTAAAAAAGCTGAAACTAAATCAATTTAATCTCTACTGGGCTATTGGGGGATTACACCAAATGTAGACGAATTTGAATAGGACAATGTGTAAAGTGCTGCGGCTCTGGTGAGGACGAGCTGAGAAGAATGCTCAAGCGAGTCTCCGCTGGCCAGCCAGGACTCCAACCGTCTGGAGAGAGGAGAGTGGTTAAATCAGTCCGACAGTGCAGCAAACCGCTAGCGGCATTTCCCATCCTCGAAACCGAACTAGTTCCGAAACTCTTGAAAAGCCCGGGGAAAGATAAGCGAAGCGCGCAGATCGATCCGGACGAGGTATGTAGTGAAAATGAATTCAGCCATACCCAGTGCCAAAAAACATGGCATAAATAATAGGGACACGAAGCGCACATAAATGCTGGCATGCCGCTCAATGAGTGCGCAAGAATGTATGTACTGGCATGGTAGTCACGGCCACGGCGACTAGTGTAAGACATACGTCCACACAGTTACACCCACACAGGCACATGTGCAGACATAAACATACTTACGTGTACATCACTGCTAATACGCATGTGGCCATCCAAACAGACAGTATCACATGTTCACGCATACACACATTCGAATGTGGGCAGACGAAGACAGAAACAAAAAAAACATGCAACCAAATGGACGTGTGGAGGGAAAGATTGGCGCTTGACTATTGATCACACGACCCTTACACCTAGTCAGCATAACTACCAAGAGTAGTGAGGCCGGGTCAAGGTATGAAACCACGGCTACGATGTCTGGCCTTATCTTACAACAGCTGAACGATGAGTCACAGAAATAAGGTGTTGAGGTCCGTTAGGGGACGGCACGGCACGGCATCTCGGCACAAGTGAGTCGGACAGTTCGAGCAAACCTGGGGCTAAAGGGACAGAGTGAATGAGCACACTTAATCCGAGGTGCGAGAACATGCTGATTGATACCACTTGGCGGATGGACGTTTTTCCTAGAACATGCCAGAAACGGGGAGAAAAGCAAAATCCAAGAATGCGTTAGACAAAGTGTCGCGAAAGATTACGCAACAAATCCTAACTTCTATTTTTTGCTGTTCCGTTTAAGAACCAACTTTTCGATATTTGAATGAATCGAAAGGCCACAGCACGATACTTTCTGATGTTACCAATTGAAATGAGTAGATATGAGTAATACTGAAACAAATGCAGATTGGCACAGGAAAAAATAAATTAAGAGGGAAATGGAAGAGTCGCGTGCTTATGTTGAGAGGCTTCGCGAATTATATCCTAAAATTTCTGGCCTAGCCTCTAAGCAACAGAACTCGTTCCCTGTTTCTGCATCAGGCCAATCAATATGCAAAATGCATGCATGCATACATATGGGTATATGTTCGTGCGCTAGCATAGAAATTT